TCTGTGTCAAAGGAGTTTCTGACTTTAATTATTATCCATGCAGGTTCTCACATCATCCATCCTTTACTCCATATTCTTCACCTGTAATGTTTGTGGCAGACAGATTGGTGCCAGCGTAACCTCATTCCTGACATTCATCCTGTACGCTGTCGAGGTTGGACTCACTCGTGCCAAATCTGATGAAACCAAGGGGTTTCTCTCCACTGTGCCGGGTCTACTCAAAGTTCTGGAGGCATTTGTGGCCTGCATCAACTTCATCTGTTTGTATTACATCCCGTTCTCACTTTTTCCAGGTCTCAAGTGGTGTGTTGCTGTCTACTCCATTTGTTTTATTTTTTCCCTCCTTATCATCATATTTGCTATTGTTCGCCTGATAGGCCGCTTCCCTGCACCTTTTAGCAAAGTTCTGATAGTCTGCAATGTGCTGGCCGTGCTGATGTACATCTCAGCTGTCATTGTCTGGCCCTTCTACTGCTTTAGGAACTTTGTCAGACCAGATCCTTGCTCTCTGGGCTGTGGTTGGAATGTACTTGTTGTTGTATCTTTCATGTCCTGCTTTAACCTGATTGCTTACATTGTGGACACAGTGTATTCTTTCAAGTTGGTCTTCTCTACCACTCAAACATAAGCACTTTGTTGCTTCATTTGAATGTTCAGGTTGTACTTCTATTGTGATGATTTTTCGTATAAAGCCATCACAACAGAAACTGTTAAGACATCAAGTATAGCCTCTATTTCTCAACATAATTTCTAACCTATCTGTTTCTATTTTACAACTTTTCTACTGATGTTTAGTAATAATTTTAAAACCATGTTAAATAATATAATGCTGTTAAATGAGTATCTAATTAAGTAAACTCTTTAAATTCTATGTAAACTTTTGCTAAATAATGTTATGCAGGCTTAAATGTAAAGGATTGTTTTTAGCAGGATTGTTTTTTAAGCACAGCAAAATCAATAATTTTAGAATAAGGGAAGCTTTAACTAACCCTCAGGCATAATGAAATTGCGTGCAATGATAAATAAAAGGTGTGTCATACTGCAGATAACCTGAAAAATAGCCGCTTTTGGTTTTGAGTTATAATGGCTTGTAAAACTGTCTGTCACAGGGAGGGGTAGTATGTATCTCCAGCAACCTTTAAGTGAAAGAAAGGGTTCATCCTGTACAAGTCAATAATCCAATCACAGGGCAACTGAGTGAAATACAACCATGCACACGTACGCACACCTAAAAGCAATTTAGAGTTATCATTTAACCTAATGTTCT